GTTTTTTTATCTTTTTTTTTCTTTTTGGCAATCTGCTAGCGGTCGATCGGAGACCGTGTCAGCATTATGGGCGGCGTAATCTACCGTACAGTGTTAAACGTTTAAAACTCTCGTTGCTGGCGGGGCAACGGCTGTGTCGGAAAGATTCTCTACGGCGAAAATACATCATCCTGACGTGTCCGTGGGTGCGTTAGTGCCTCTCGACGGGGGGGCCCGGGGAACTCGTTCGGGTTCAACACCGTGAAAGTCGGCTTCGCTAGTTGGAACAGTGTCTACACTCCGAGGGAACGGGGATACTCGCTCGTCAGTCGAGAAGACGGCGAGAGCTTGTCGCGTCAGGATGCTCGAACCGATGTTGCGCTCGCCGAGGTGTCCGCTCGCCGCGTAGACCAACTGTTAGAACCTCTATGCGACGCGCGGACCCCCACCCTATCGGCCTACAATCGGTGAATTACACGGTAAAGTTTAATTAGTAAGAAAAAACGTCTACTTAAAGAACCATGTACATAGAGTATTTCGTAAACGACGACCTTGCCGAGAGACTAGTTTCCACCGGAAGGTGGACGATCGGTTTCTACCGGTTCCCTTGGCCCTCTGATGGAGCAAGGTCGCGTGCACGGTGGTCCGCGGGGTTCGAACCGGCACCGACACCATCCGTAACGTTCGAACCGCCACTGACCACACGGAGAAACGTCGTTTGGCATTTAAATATGGCGTTGTTCAGTGCTCGAGATTTCTGAATGCGTCGCTCGAACGCTCGTGACCAACCGGCGACGCGATTACTCATTCGATACGGCAGTTATGGTGATCGACGTGAACGGAAGTTCTACCAAAGAATCTCTTAACGCTGGAGCTACCGGATCAGTCAAAACGATCCTATTCCCGATTTCTTCTACGATTACTGAAAGAGGAAGCTGACTCGGTAAAATTCAAATGTAAGTCAATTGAAATCTTAATAAATGCGCGTTTGCAGCTTCTATAAAGAAACTTTCGAAAGTCAGTTCAAATGCTCGGTAGCTCTAGCGTTAAACAAGCGCTGAGCAACTCGGCTTGCAACGCGTTCGTCAATAGACGGGTGCGGCGAAAATGATCTGAAGCTTTTAAACATTCAGAGAATATCGGATGTTCGATTCTGGCTTGCAAGGAGTACTATATTCTAGCCCGCGACAAAGGTTGCTCAGCGCTATCTCAAACGACAGACAGTAAAGCTAGTCTAGGTGATCGCCTCGAGCGCGTTACAAGACACTGTAGCCGTTCACCGTTCGCGGATCATTTAAAAGCGACTCGGATGACCTCGTGGAACATCGCGGAGAGATTCGCCGGTTAGGGCCGCGGTTCGGTTAAACTAGAGAAACAAGATATCGGTCTCGGCGAACGGTGAACGCTTGACAAAACAATCGTAAGAAACGCTTCCGAGAAATCCTAATCGCCTCGATCCTAAGGAAGAGGATCGAACGTTCGATCCTTCGATCGCGCGAGCGTTAGCAGCGCGACTTCGTTTTTCCTTCGTTTCTTCTTCGTCGTGGTGGTTACTCTGCGCCGCCATTTGTTGCTCCGGTAGGCAGTTCACGTGAAAAGACAGTGGCGAGGAGGATCGATAAGACACAAGCGGCTGAATTGTACGCTCGTCCGCTGCCGTCCGCGATCGGACGCCGGAAAGGAGCGACACGCGACAACGGACTCTCGTTAATACTGGGTGGATGGGAGGGTACAGTCGGTGGTACAACGATAAAACTATGTATACAGCTGGGGGATGACTCGATGACTGGCGAGACGGTACAGGGACAAAAGGGTTTTGTTTGTAGTTTTTATTGGTTACGCGTAACCGTAGCGACGATAAACACGTTGAATGCCATGGGGCTGACCGGTGACCCCGTCCAAATTTAATTACTGCAATTTCCTTAATTACACGATGATTATTTGAAAACATTCCTATACTGTAAATAACGCTATTTAATACGGTGACATTTAGCAAAACAAACCTGCGATAATAACGCAGTTAAATTAAATAGTTTAATATCGTATTTTTTTCTTTTCGCATATTCTGCACCTTAAAATCGTGCGGAATTCAACGTGTTAATGTTAGAACTACCGAGCATTTAATACAATTAATATGCAATACCCATAAAAATTGTAACAATGGATTATTTTCGGTTTCTTCAGACATTTGTTATAGTATTCGAGGGAAATTATTTATTTTCAAGATCCTTTGGAATCAATGCTTTTAAGATATAAATAATTGCGAAACGAAAGACATTGAAACCAGTCCGTTTGACTGGTACGGTAACTCTAGTGTTAAACGATCGAATTGTGATTCTTCAAATAATTCTATGTTAATATATAACAGTTAAAATGTTCCTCAGTCTAGTCATCGAGTTATCTGCCAGCGGTACTCGTTGATTTCTTCCTTCTCTTCCCTATGCTCGAGAAGCGTTCGCGTTTAATACTGGTTTCTATCGTTAAACGAGAATCAATGAGATTAAATTATTTTAAAATATTTTTGATTAGCTTCGTGGATAAAGAACTGTTTGATTTCTTGGCGATTCGTCTCAACTGCACCCTCCCCGTCAGCGTGGACGACGATTTCGACCCTGCGCGTCGGAGATTGAAGCGACGACGAGGGATCCACGAGAGAGATCTCTACGAAACGCTCGTAAGACGAGGGCCGTGTCGGTCGGAAGGGTTCTCGAGGAATAGAGAAGAGAAATTTTCGTCGGTAAGGAACGAACGTCGATGAATAATCAGTCGTGTAACCGGAGCGATCGTCTGACGATTAAATGGAGCGCGAACGACGCGAACAGTCGCTCCGTTACGGTCTGTCTTGCGAGTAAAAT